AATAACTGCCCAGCATCCTCTGCCCAACCAATCAGAATGTAGGAAAATCTACAGATATGACGGAATCTACTGTGAATCTACCTACCAGAAGTATGTTGAAATCTTTGTGAGTCTTCCTTCTGGCTCTTGCATCAGTGCTTGTGATTGCCAGCTATTAAAAAATATCCTTGTATTGAAACCTTATTTTTATTTAATTTAGTGGGGGAAAAAAATCAAACCAAACCAAACAAAATGATAATAAAAAATTTGCCTCTGAAATCAAGACAGAAAAAAAAATGTTTATTCTTTTGAAATTGTGGTCTAAAAGTTTTTTTTAAAAATGACTGTATTAAAGCTCTTAGGTAAGCTTCTTTATATTGCAATAAACAAGTACTTATATGCAAGAAAATCTCAGCAAAATACATTGCACAGGTGCTACGCATCTTAGGGATTTGAAAGGTGTGTTATGTATAAATTAGCTGTCACTTTTTTTCAATCCTGTAATGGAATGATGAGTTGTAATTTGCATAATCCTTTAAGAAGTCAAATTATACTGTCATGTAGCAGACTTAACATGCTAGCTAAGATTTCAGAGCTTTGCAGCTAATTACTATGTACCTTACAGGACAGTTAAATTGAAGTTGAGTCCTCTGTCTTTGCTGCCATTTGCTTTGTCCGTTACTTAACAGAATCTGCACTTTTGGTAACGAGGTGTTGTTGCTATCACTGAAGTAAACACTTTGCTCTGGGGAGGAAATGGCATTTTAATGTATTGTAGCTTGAGTTGTATTGCTTTTACTAAAAAGAAAGTTTTTTTTTAAACAATAGTCCAATTGGAGTATTCAGAAAAAAAAGGTTAGAAATTTATGCTTTCCAGAAAAGTTATGCAATATTGAATGAAGCAGCATTAACATCTAATTAATTCTTTCCCTATAGAAAATATAAGGTAACAAAAACATGAGTCCACTGAAGTCTTTCTTCACACATTTTGCAAATATACTGTGGTGTATGTTTGTCTTTGTACTCTTCTTTGGTAGGAGAATGTCATTTTTGAAAAACAAAAAAAAAGAAAGTGCCCTTTTTTCCTTAAAAGGTCCTTTCTGAATACAAGCTGGTGAGTTCTACTTTCATTTACTCCTCCAAATGGTTGTAGAGAGTTTTCTTTCACGGTTTCCAATTTTTAAATGATCAGGAGATGCTAGTGGCTATGAAGGTTGTTCTCTGAAATGGATATAGAATAGATCCCGGATTGGAGCTAGGACCGTTCCCTGCCTAGTGTGGTTTAGTTGATAACTTTATCACAGTATCTTTACTACGTGTTTATCTCTGGCTTTATTTATTGTTATTCTGTTACCTAGATCATGTTTTCCTCTTCAGAATTGGTGTAATTATAATGCAAAATTATTTCTGGTAATTTTTTAAAAGACCTTATTATTTATGAGTCATTTATTGTGGCTTTTGATGGCCAGGTTTCTGAAATTGGTTAGTGATTTGTGGCCTTGTTGTGATTGGTGGTTGCTTTGAAGAAGCCTTCTGTTGTCTAGCAAGGGGGGTCCTCTCAGAACCATAGTTAAGCATCAGTCGATTGTTGACCACTCAAATAATAGGCAATCAGCAATCAATTGTTGTTAATTTGTAATTAAGCTGGTTTAATTTAAGCAGATAGAAATGACTATCTGCTTAAAGGCTGAGGTTGCTCAGTTTAGAGTAAGGAACATGGTCGAAGCCATGAGGAGGTCTGTCCATAGAAAAGTTTCCCTTCTCACCATAGGAATCATCTCAAGGGTTTGCTTTTATTAAGAATCAGTGTTATTTGTAGTCAGGGTAGACACAGTAGGCAGCACAGCTGTGACTGCCAGGGTAAGTCACTAGGGGGATATTCATAACAAGGAAATATTGGCAAATAAATGATGAAGAAGGGGAAGAAATCCCCAAGATGTTAAATTGGAGCACTGTCACTGAGATGATTAATGGTGTTGTGTATTTTAGTGAAGATGCTTATCTGAATTGTCTTGAAACTATAGTGTACATTTAATAGCACCTATAAAAAGCATGTGGTGTGCAAGCACACTGACGAGAGGGCCGTGCATTCAAATTCTACTGAGTATTTTCTGCAACTAAGTATTTGGCTTTTGGCTATTCGAAGGCTAGTGTTACTAATGTACAGGATATGATTATTCTATATATTTAAAATTAATCAGCATTTATATAGTTCTTCTCCATAGAGAAATGAAGATGTTTTGTGAAAACGATGATTCTCTTTTCAACACTGTTAAGGTTGAATGTTGTCAAGTAAGGAAATGGGAATCATGTCCCTATCATCCAGGTGAACAGTCAGGGCCACAGTGGGTAAAACACTGTTGGGGGCGGTGAGTACCATTAAAAAACATTCTTTGTCAATTTCTGGCGAAGGGGTAGCTGTCTTACAAGATTCTATAACTTTCAGTTATCAAGTCATAAATATTATGATTCTGTGGCATGAGTTATCACTTGCCTGGAGGGATTATTTGTCAGCAATATAGCAGTTACATCTTTGGAAAAGTTACTTAACCTCCTTGGACTTCAATAATTACTAGTAGATATAGGAATAGATACAGACAAATGATATGTAATCCTATCTTCAATGAGCTTATAGTCTATTACAGTAGCACTTTTCAAACTCTGGGTCTCTACCCAAAAAGGTGAATATAATCCAATTTAGTGGATCAAGATCAGAATTTAAAAGTGATATAGAAGAGGAGATTATGCATTGTATGTAGTAAGACTGCTTTATTTTTTAAGACTTCCGTTTTGCTTTATTCACTTGTGTTTATGTACATACAACTGCACATAATGTGTATGTGGTTGGGTTATGAGGTCATATATGTTTTTTACTGTGTTTCATTTCTGAAAAAAGAATGAAAGCCACTATAATAGTGTCGAGTAGATAAATGTGTAAACATTGTACATGTGTTATGTCCTTATGTGCGTAGGGTATTGTAGATTATAAGGAAAGACAGTCCTGCGGAAAAGTTTCAGGTATGAAGAAGCTACACCATCTGAACTTTCATATCCAGTCATGTGGTAGAGCCAACTTAGATGGGTTTGTGGGAGCCAGTTGTGTGGTCTTTGTGATCAGTAACCCCTTGGAGAATGGAAAATGCTGCAAATCAGCTGCCTCCATCTTTCATTTTTTCTAGTACTAGGGATTGAGCCCAGGAGTGTAGCCCTGAGCTACATCTCCAGGCTTTTTATTTTTGTATTTTGAGACAGGGTCCCAGTAAGTTTCCTAGGCTGGCCTTGAACTTGAGATCTTCCTGCCTCAGCCTTCTGAGTAGTTGAGATTACAGGTGCCACTGTTGTACTTGGCACCCTGACTGGTTGTTCAGCATTTCCTAGCATATCATTACTTATATTCCTTTCAACTATAATTCTGTGGTTCAACAATTATTGTGAATTGTTACTTTAAAACAATTATTTTACATGGTGCATTTATATTTTATTGAGAATTACTAGATTGGTTAAACAGTTGTTTCAATATTAAAATTTTAAAGCAAACAGGAATAAAAATTTATTTTAAAAAGTCTGTACTTTATTACTTTAAAATAATGGTAATAGTTACTCTAATCTTTTACATTCAATGCTTATGATATTTCCAATTTACAACTTCAAATTGCAATTGTTGATACTGAGTTTTTTAGCAAAGGGTAGAAATACAGTCTTTTAAAAATTACTAATGTTGTAAATATTTTACAAATCTCATTGTTTTATGCTAAGCATTTGTTTTGCTAAGCACTATGACTGCCTTTTAAACTGCCTACTTAAAGTTCATAATAATATCTCTGTATTTAAGTGAATTCATTTCTATAGTAGTGGATTTGATTGGGAGATGCCAAAGTTATTTCTAAATCAAAAGAGTTGTCAATCTTATTTTTTTTTCTATTTTTGAGAATAAAACTAAAAGCAACAAAGAATCTGAAAAAAGGAGAAAATATATTCCCTTCATAATATTAATAACTTTGAACTTTATTTTTGAAGAAAGGCAGGAAAACATTTGGCCAGTGAGGAAACATTCGTTGACATGGCATGGAATTGTAATAAGAAGTCCAAGAATATTGCCTGCATTAAGAATATCTGATGGTGAGGAAAAATAGGTAGGGAAGAGTCCTCTGAGCTCCAGAGTTTAAGAGGAAATTCAACCATAGAGTTGGACACTTCTGTAGAGAAGTTGGAGGAAGGGTAGGATGTCCTTAAGGCTGTTTCAGGAACAGTCATTTCACCAATCTTGAGGAAAAGGGGAGTGAGCCTGAGGTGGGAGTCCAGTACTCACATTTCCGGAGCTTCTGCTATGCCCTATCAGTGCACACTGCTGCACCCGTTTTAAACAAAAGGGTTTAACCCAGGGCTCCTAGTCTCAAAGTGGAGCCAAGACTGAGAAATTCTCATTGTGAAGGTTTTTGAAATTGATTGAAACACTTGTCACCTAGAGTGGAAAAGACCATTGGCAAGATTAAAGTTAGTTTTTGTTTGTCTTCTCCATCCCGAGGCCATCTTCATGAAATTCATTGCCCTGGGTTCTTGGTTTGTGCTGGGTGCTCCAGCCTCACCCCCACCAGCATTTTTGTCTGTACCTCTCATTGCAGATCAGGAGTTGTTATCTGATAATGTTACTCTTCTCAGTACTATTTGCATTTTAATAAGCAACTCCAAGCGAAAGAATCAAAGAGAGAAGAAAAGGAGTCTTCTCTAATAGAGTAATTTCAGATACCTTGACAGGAGTTGGAGGAATTCATTTGAGGCTGGAGGAGAGTGAAGGGTGAACCTAGAATATGGATATTCTGTTCAGTGTAGTGTTGAGGTTGACCTCAGCTGGGAGGCATGGGTCTGGAAATGGGAAAATTTGGACTCAAAAGAGGCAAGGAGTTGATGAGGGAAGACCAGGGGAGGGTAGTGAAAAAGGGCATTCACTAGTCCTTTTCAGCTGTATTGTGCCAGACAGACTGCTCCCCACTCTCAAGTGTTCTCCCAATTACAGAGAAGCCATCACAGGCAGCTGTGGGCTGGGGTGTGGGTACTGGAGGCTCACCTATGTAGAAGGGGAGGCAAAGGTCAAGGAGCTGTAGCCACAGCAG